GAGCGAGATCGTGTCAGTCGTATTGTTAACAGGACATTTCGCAGCGTGCGTGTGTGTGTGTATATGTGCCGTGATTTACCGGAGATGCGGGTTACCTGATTACACGAACGTCATTATTTGCAGGTGTGTAATACGTTTATTTTTTACGTGTATATATATATTTTTATTTTTATTTATTATATTATTATAATATCATATATTATATTTATTTAATTATTTATTTATTTATAGATATATTGTATGGTTTATATATATATATATTATTATATAATATATATTTGTGTGTGAGTTTATTTGGTAGAAGCATATTGCTAGCACGTTGAACATAGCCTGCCGTGACGCTTAGCATCGTTGCGACTACAGGCCTGACCAATAACGGATTGAAATAACGATGGAATCAATTCTGCCAGTATTCACGAGTTCTGCGTGTTTATCCCGTTGCTAAGTTTTTATTACCCGCTTGTTACGTTCTTTTACTAGTGGTCTAATTATTCCTAATTAGGTCTGCAATCGTATAAGCTGTTTACGAGAAGCAGCTGTATTTATGGTCGAAGTGATAGCGCCGTGTGTGTATCGTACGTAATATATGAAGTATCTTATATTACATGATGCTACTTCTGGATCTTACTATATTAAATTGGGTGAATCTGTCTGTCACTCTGTTCGCGTCTATCTTCTGCTGAGACCCGTAAGAGGTGACCCAACCCAGTTATATTCTGATGCAGCATGGACGCGCGACATTTCTTAGACAACAAAATTGCAGAATTAGCCCAACAAAGCTATGAAAAACACACACAAAAACGATGGGTATATGTACTTTAAACTATCTATGGTTCATGTACCGGTGCTAGAGTTATATTATAATCTTTACGTTTCTTTAATATTTGTAATGTTCTCAAAATTCTTATGTTTCATATGATTCCTATGTTTATTATGTATTTTGTCTGTTCTTCTGACGAGAGGGGCATACAAGCAATTAATTAATTCATCCAATGCATAAAATTCTTTATTGGACGGTGGGCCCCTCCGAATGCAGCGGTTACTTTTCGAACCGAGGTTTGGATCAGTTCCCCCATTTATGTAGTAGATTCTATGTTGTTATATAGGGGAAAAATAAGAGGTAAAAAGAAAAGGCGAGGGGCGGGGAGGGAGCGGGAAAAAGGAAAAGGGAGCGGCAGAGGGTATGGATGTTACAGCTCTGATGGCAGACTATTTAGCTCTTTCTCTTTATCCGCGGCATCGCGGTAGCCAGCTAGTTCTTTATAGCTTGATATCGGATGCCAACTCGGCCCTGCAGAGATCAGGATGCAGTGGTACGTGCAGAGAGAGAGAGAGAGCGCCCGCTCGTATCGACCGCACTCTTATATCGTATATGCACCCGAGATAACTCACCGATTCAAATGAGGCGAAACGACTGATTTCCTAATCCATTCATCGCGCGTAATTAGGAGGAAAATTTGAGGATATATAGCTCTATACTTCGGCTATCATGTGTGACCGTGTCGTCGCATGAGAGCAGCGTGCAGCGGAGAGGAGCTGCGGAATAGCAGTTGCCTATGTTTGTCGTATAAGGGAGTCACGAGAGGTGCAATTATATAGTCAAGGTCTGCCCACATGCCAAACATTCCTGCAGACCAATCTCGCAACATTAAAGATACTCAATACGAGATGTACATTATATAATAATAACATTTGTAATATATTGCAACATATCAATGGTAATAGGCACAGTAATCCTATTTTATGCTGATTAAATTTTAATGATTGCTGCTTTAGATGTCTTTCAGTGTGCCTTCAAATTTGGCAAAAACATATCGCATCATCCAAGCCTAGATAGCCTTTAGCCTTCCCATTATCTCATGTAAGTTTGCCAACCACCTGCGCGAACCTTCGACCTTCCGTTGTCGCCGCAAAGCTCGTGCCGCCCCCTGGCTGGCGCGAACGCGTCCAGCAGCGCGAGATGACGCCGTATACATGGTGTCCAATCTCTCATGTTTAGTGAAAGGTTCGTGTGCGCAACCCGCGTAGCGGCTCTTGCCACGCCCGTTTCACTTTCCGAAGCAACGAGATTTAGCGTCACCAGGTGCGCGAATTGCTCGGCGGTGTGACCTACCTACCTGCGCAGGGGAGACTGGCGGGCGTTACCTGAGGAGTGTCCTCGCTTGTCTCTCGTTACTCGGTTCGCAGGTCGCGGCTTTCGAGTTAGGAAAGTGTTAGAGAGGGCGTTTTCTGGTGCATGTCTCGAAGCCGAGCTCTGTGTCAGTTATTGTTAACAGGACATTTCGCCAGCGTGCGTGTGTTGTGTGTGTATATGTGCCGGTGATTTACGGAGATGGGGTACCTGATTAACGAACGTCTTATTTGCAGGTGTGTAATATTTATGTTTCGTGTATTATGTATTTTTTTTTTTATTTATTTATTTATTTATTTATTTATTTTTATATATTATATATATTTATTATTTTATATAGTATAGTATATATATATATTTTTTTGAGTTTTTTGCGTGAGACGTATTGCTAAGTGAAATGTGCGTTGACGAGTATCCTCGTGCGGATACGCCTGGCCATAAGACTGATACGAGAATCCCTCTGCAGTTTTCGAGTTGCTGGTGTTATCCGTTCATTGTTTTAGTTACACGCCTTTTCTTTATTTTAGTGGGTAATTATTACTAATGTAGGCTTCTGCATCGTAAGTGTTGAGGAAGCCAGCTGTCTTCTGTCGAAGTGTAGCCGACACCGTGTCCTGTTCGTAGTTTAATAGTAGTGTTCTGTATATACTGATGTACTTCTGGGATTACCTATATCTATACGGACGCCGACTCGGCCCTGCAGAGATCAGGATGCAGTGGTACGTGCAGAGAGAGAGAGAGAGAGAGAGAGAGAGAAGGAAGAGAGGAGAGAGAGGAGAGAGAGAGAGAGGATGAGCGGGCCGCTCGTATCGACCGCAACTTCGTTATCGTTATGCCGGTACTCACCGATTCAAATGAGGCGAAACGACTCGATTTCCTAATCCATTCACACGCGTAATTAGCAAGAAAATTTCAGCGATCATATAGCTATACTTGGCTTCATTTTGTGACCGTGTCGGTCGCATTGGGAGCGGACGTGGCAGCGGAGAGGTGAGGCTGCGGAATAGCAGTTGCCTATGTTAGTCCGGTGTAGGAGTCACGAGAGGTGCAATTATATAGTCAAGGTCTGCCCACATGCCAAACATTCCTGCAGACCAATCTCGCAACATTAAAGATACTCTAATCGAGTTTGACTACATTAATAATGATAGATTCGTGTATCTATTCACATTCAATGGTAATAGGCCAGTAATCTATTTTATGCTGGAAGTGTCTTCAGTGTGCTTTCAATTTGGCAAAACATATCGTATCCCAGCCCTTTAGATAGCCTTTGCCTTTCCCAATTATCTCATGTAGTTGTAGCCAACGACCTGGGAACCTTAGGCCCCCCTTTTCCCGTGTCGGGGCAAGCTCGGTGCCGCCCCTGCTGGCGGAACAGCGTCCCAGCACCGCGCGTATGCGTCAGTTATACATGGTGTCATCTTCTCATGGTTAGTGAAGGGTTGCGCGCGCACCGCATGTTTAGCGGAGAGGAGGCCTGACGAATAGCATGCACTATTGTCTGTTCCGTATAAGGGAGTTACGAGAGGTGCAATTATATAGTCAAGGTCTGCCCACATGCCAAACATTCCTGCAGACCAATCTCGCAACATTAAAGATACTCAATACGAGTTGTTCATGGCGTCTTTTCGCGGATGAAACAAAGTGCTTGGGCAGAGATACAAACAGATTTCTGTAGGCCGTACAGTGCATGTATGGTATCCGCAGCTTTTGGTTAAAAATAACTAACGACAGAAGGTATTGTAGTAAGATTTTGCTGTTTTCAGAAACTCTCATTACCGAAATTTGTCTTCGTTTTTTTCAGTTGATAATTTAGTTGTAAGCTGTAACTACCTTTTATAAAGTGGATTCCCTGTTCTTTCTCAAAAATTGACTTAGCTTTGATGTTTGTTCTGTCGTCAATTGGCATGACGATATATACTATTAATAGTTTGTCAATCGCAATTTTGTACGGAAAAAATACGCGAACAATCTAATGAATTACAGCGTATTGCGTTCTGGATATACAAGCATTGTACACGCATAACTTGGGATTTTAAAATCTATAGTCTGTACCTATAGTATAAAATAGTATATATAGTATAAAATCTATAGTACTGTACCTGTATTATGTAAGTAAATAGATGCCTCTGCAGTGTGTACGAAACACGGAACCCGGAATTGAAACGATTGTCAAAAAAGAGAATAAACGGTGTGCGTTTACCAGGTGTTGATATAATGCCTTGGAGCGGTGTGTCGTATGGATAACACTTACAAAGCCAAAAAGGAACACACCTTTCCTAATAGTCACGACTGTTCCTTAGCCTATAGACCCAGTTCTACATAACAAAAAATCTGTAAAACGCGCGTAATTTGCTTATTTTAAAAACTAAATCACTTCAAAGTAAAGCTGCTGTCTAAGAGAGCTTCTATCTACTGCTGCGAAGATATAGCAGTAGATTATAGTATCGTATATAAAATAAGGTATTGAATGCTCGGGCCTACTCAAGTGCATACACACACCTTCAAAGGTGCACTTACGCGCGCACACACACGCATGCGTGCACGAGGGCGCACACACAGACACACGTGCACGCACACCCATATACATGCAAAAAATTCGTACACACGCTCGCGGCTGAAAGGGCGGCACATTACAATTTTACGAGTTTATTTCACAACTAAAATTTGTTGTTCCAATGTGTCTCAGCCGATCACAAGCTCGTTTCAATGTCAACCTGTCAAAACCTTTATCGATTATTTCTGGTTGCAGCTGTTTGTTTTGCGACCTTGTATTAGAGGTCATTACACAGATTGTGCCCGAGGAGACGTAAATCGTCTTGCCTTGTGTATTAGTCCTGATTAATGTACTCTCGTGCGTTTCTTGCAGAAACTAGACGCGTCTGCTATCTCTACCCGGATACACGAATACCATTGACACACACGGAAGATGACACTGAAAAGCAAATGGAAGAAACTGGGTACGTACGCATTGTAATGTACCTCTGCGCGACGTGGCCTTATTACAGCTTTATACGTTCGACGGCGACGCAAAACAACAGAACTAATCATACGACGTAACGAGTTCGAATCACGGACGAGAAGCATTCGCTCATAATATTCGCATATAATGTGGATTTAAAGTTGATAGTATATACAATTATTATTGTACATACATGTATCTATATATGTATATTACATATGTGTATGTAAATACATGGATGTAGCATCGTGCAATTGTAAACGTTTGTAGTTGGAAGAGTTCAGCATCTAGTGATTAATATGAGTGTATTGATGAGTAATTAGTATAATGTTTTACAATAATTAAAACCGTTACTAAGAAATTGGTTTCTAATTTCACTTATAGTTCTGAGACCACGAGACAAGCGGAACGCTAAGGAGACTAAGAAACAGACAGGTAGGCGAGGGGATTATAGGGCTTAATGGCCCTTTCTCACCGTTTATTTACGAAAATCCTAGCGCGCACGTGTGCATGTGCGCGCGCGCGCGTGCTTGAGTGCGCGTGCGTGTAGGCGGGCGTGTTTATTTGTGCGTGGGCGTGTATGCAGGCGGGCGTGTTTTTGTGTGCGTGTGGGTGCGCGTGTGCGTGCGTGCGTGCGCGTGTGAGTGTGTGCGCGTGCGTGCGCGTGAGCGTGTGTGAGCGTCAGTCTGTGCGTGTTGGTGCGCGTCTGCGTGGGCATGGGCGGGGTTGTGTGTACGCTTACATGTCATACATTTGCTGTGCACTTTTGTAACGCCACATACTATTTTGCTGTTTAGTCTCCGAGCCGAAAGCGATAGAACATGGTTACATGAACGCCTACGACTCGGAGGGGCGTTCCGCGCAGAGCAGCTCTGAAGAGGAAGCTATCCCAGCTCAGCAGCTACAAGTCACCTCCGTCGATGCTGCCCCACCGAAGCCTGTCAGGAAAATTCGACCGATACCTCAACTGCCGACAACTAAACCGCCTGTAGAGGACGCCAGCGGTGAGCATGTCAATGACGATTCGAATGAGTGCGTCGCCGGCGCCGCCAGCGACAGCAATCCAAACCACACGAGCGAGTTCTTCCCGCGGAAGATGCCACACCGATACGCCCGGCGGAAGTTCAATAATTCGAACGTGAAGATGACCTTTGGCAGCACGCCCGACCTCCGCTCGCCCATCGATGTGTTCACGAGGGAGAACATCTACGAGAATGTCATGTCGACGTTCGGAACACCAAACAATTCGAAGGACATCTCCAGTACACCGAACCTATGCTCGGACGGCCTATACATGGGAAATGTGCTGAGTACGTTCATGACACCGAAAGCGCACCGAAAACACGATGGCTACTCCACGGACAACGAATTGTCCAGTCGTCGCAACAAGCGCCTCCAGAGGACGCTCTCGTCGGTGAGTCTGCCCGGAAAATCAGACGAACCGAAAAACATCTTCGAGCAAAATTCTGATGACGACTACGATCTCTACACTAATAAGGAAAACGACCGAGGCGCCCCCTCGACTTCATCAGCCGATGTCGTCTCAAATAATTCGACTGAGCGTAAACCGAGTCCGCGTCCAAGACGCAAGCACAGTAAGGGCAACGAGGGGGCGGTGACGCAGGAAGGCTGCGCACTTGCGATGACATCGCTGCCGCAGTCCACCGAAAAGGAAGCTAGTCAGCAGAACACGGCGGCGGCGATCACGAGCGAGATGCTCGCCACCGTCAAACTACGACCAAAGAGCGGCCGAGCGACGGAGATACCGACCGTTCCAGCGCCACCTGTCTCAAAGACGTCCGCTCCGGTTGCTAGGCGACCGCGCAGCCCTCTCAAGCGCTCGGCAGCCTTCTACGGCGCGCCGATCACAGCGATGCCGCCTGACGCCGACGCGCCTCCCCGGGCCGACGTGCCAGCCAGGAGCAGTCTGCGCGACGACGCGCGATGCAAGAGCGCCTCGGCAGATGCGAGAGCCGACGCGCCGCCTAGCCGAGGGCGTGCTGCGTGCGGCCTGAAGACGGTGAAGAGTGAAGCTGACATACTCTCCTACCAGCTGGGCGGCGGTGACCTCTACTTTATACCGGATGCGACGCCGGATCTCTCGCGCAAGGAGTACGACACCGGCTACGAAACCAACATGGAATCGGGATACACGAGCGAGGCAAGCATTCGCAGCAAGGGCGCGATTCTGCAGCAGGTGAAACATTCCGCGTCGATTTCATCGACGGACGCCAAACTGCCGGCGCCTGAAATGTTACGGGAGAAAGCCGCCGCCGTAACTACAGAGCTCACGGAGGCTCATTCCGCAGCGGCGAAACAAGGGACGGGTGCAGGTGAGTCGGTTGCCAAGCAACGAGCAAACTCGTTATCCAGTTCCATCCTTGCTGCGGCGGCGTCTCGTAAATCAGTGCAGAAACAGAGCAGTCAGGTGGAAGCTCTCCACACTGATGTGTCATCGAGTGAAGACGCTGCGCTCAAAGAAGGAAGAAGAGGAGGAAGAGGAGAAGGAGGAGGAGAAGGAGGAGGAGGAGGAGGGGAAATATTTCCGTGGGATTGCGGCGCACCAGTCAAGTCCGTGAAGGAAATGCCAGCGAGAGCTGTCGACGACATTCAACCGAAACGAGAGTTCCTAGCGGATGTGCCAAAATCACCAAGAGTCATTAATAAAGTCAGCAGTGTGCATTTATCGGCTCTATCCGATGCCATATCAAAGCGCAGCATGCAGTTGAAAGCGACATCTGTTGACGATGTTGAAAATACTGTGAGTTTTTCAGAACAAACAGATTCGAAGCATGGCCGACACTTGAAAGCGACATCTGTTGACGATATTGATGACACTGTGGGTTTTCCCGAGCCAAATAAATCAAAGCGTAGCATGCAGCTGAAAGCGACATCTGTTGACAATATTGATGACACTGTGGGTTATCCCGAGCCAAATAGATCTAAGCGTAGCATGCAGTTGAAGGCGACATCGATTGACGACAGAGATGATACTATGAGTTCACCAGAACAAAATGATTACCATCGTAGCACAAAGCTAAAAGCGACATATATTGACGATAGAGACGATACTATGAGTTCACCAGAACCAAATAATTCCAAGCGTGGCACAAAGCTAAAAGCGACATCTATTGACGATAAAGACGATACTGTGAGTTCTAATGAATCGCTGCATTATATACTAGAGAAACGCGAAAGTCAACACATAAATAGCAACAATACAAACGCTGTAATAAAACACAAAAATAGCCACCCGGCACCGACAAATCCGAAGATTGACAAGGGGGAGACCCGCGGCCCACCAACAGCCCCAAAGAAACCGCCGAAAAGTGCCATCGCCGCGGCGATTGAGGAATTACATATAAATGGCAATAGGGAGACTAACGGGATGTCCAATCGACCTCTGGAAAGACAGAATGCTGCGAAGAAGGAACATGTCAATAAAGATGAGTTAACGAGAAGGGATATAGATAGCAGGGTATTCAACAACCGCAATGCACAATCAGTTGGGGGCGAGCAGGAGTCAAGATACTACAACTCCCGCCATGATAGGTCCAGTGACAGAGATGTAAATATGCGGCGGAACAATGACCGTCGCGAACATTCAAATGACAGAAATATGGATATAAGGCCAAACAATGGCCGCCGTGACCAATCAAACGACAGAGAGCTTGATACGAGGCGACACTACGGTCGGCGTAACCACGCACACGACAAAGAGTTCGTTCCGAAGCATTACAATCATCGATTTGACCAATCACATGACAGTGAAATCAACAACGCAAGGCCGCACGGCCACCAATCCAAAAATGTCGGAATACAAGGGAAGAAACACCAAGAGAACATGCTCTCTGACAACGACAATGACGCTAAGGCACAGTTCACGAGACGACCTCGAGGACGGACCCCGAAACACATCGCCAAGCATCACTACCCTCGCTCCGTCGGCGCTAGTGACTACGCACTGTCCTCCTCTGAGACGGAGGCCGATGCATCCTACGAGGGTCACCAGTCGGATACCATATATGGCGTCTATCAGCCGCCGGCAGGTCACTTTCATCCTCCCAACAACTCGAGAGCGGGCCACGTTCCCGAGCGGCTCGACATGCACATGACGCACAACCCTAGGAACGACTACGTCGACGCGTCGCGCTACAGCAGTCCATCCGAGTATTATCGAGAGATGACGAGAGATCACGACAGGTACGAAAACTCACGCAGATACTACGCCGGTCGCAAGTCGCCCGCACGCACGGCGCACCAGTACCCCAACCCGCACAGGTGGAGCGATCCGGCCCAGTACGCTCGATCGGTAGCCGATTACAACCGCCGCGATAGTCGGGCGAATCACAGCTACCAGACAGAGCTTAGAGGGCGCCAGGCGCAGGCGAATATTCCCTGGTCGGGTGATTGGTCGCCGGTCGTGCAGCGCAGACGACAGCCCCCGCAGCGCCGCCAGCGCGACGACTGGTCGCCAGATGTGCCGAGCAGAGCCCGACTGTCGCGCAGTCGCAACGACCTCTCAGAGTGGTCGCCCGACGTTTCGCGCAAACCCGGCAAACAGACGCATCAGCGCGAGGACTCGGGCGACTGGTCACGAGAGACGAGGCGCGCGTCAGCCCCGGCCGGAAAGAGCCGAGACCAGTCAGAGGATCGCTCATCGGAGGATTACCTCTCCGACGAAGAGGAGCTGAAGCGCACGCTGGAATCCTACGGTTACGTCGGCGGCAAGACGGCGAAGAAGTTGGAGTCGCTCACGCAGATGCTGGACGTGAGGCGCAAGGAAAAGCGCATCGCCGCCTCCGAGGAAGGCATCTACAGCGAAATCTACGACACGGTGCCCCTGGCGGCGAAGAAGACGATGCGGGTTTCGCGCACCGAACCCGATCTCAACTCATTGGTGCTACCAGATGGCGTCACGAGCGCCAACGAGCTACGCATGCAGCAGGGGCTTAAGTCATCGCAGCCGGGCAAGACCGTCCGAGAGGTGAAGAACGCTTCTAAGGCTAACCGCCAGGCGGCCGGCGTCTACGAGAAATCTCAGATGCACAAGTCGAAATCGGTGACGAGTCTGGCGACGCAGCGTACGGTGACAAGTCAGGCGAGGTCGTCGCGTTCCACCCGCACTGTCAACAGCAGCATCGCTAACCCGGATGCCACCTACCGCGATAAGTCGATCAAGAAGTGGACGGAGAAGGACGTTGCCGACTGGATCACGAGTATAAAGCTGAAGAAGTTCAAGCCCTGCTTTCGTCATATCGACGGCCCTAAGATCATGATAATGGCGAAGCAAAGATTCCCCGGACTGAACGCTACTTTCAAGGAGACGGCTATCATGCAGCAATCCCTATCCAAGATTAGACATGGAACGGGTTATTAGGTACGAGATAATTTTGTAACGACTTGTGGATAACGAATCCGTAATGCATAGCAATAGTTACAGGATACCTTGAAAATTTTCCCGACTTGCTTCCTTTGCTATAATATATATATATATATATATATATATATATATATATATATATATATATTATCTTACCTAATTATTATGAGCTTGTGAGAAAGATACTAGTATATAAATATGTGCTTTATTTAGAATAACAGAGCTGATCGCATAATCTCTTTTCTACAATTAACAATTCCAATTACCAATTAAAAATGTTTGTAGAAAAAATTAAAATGTAGAAAAACTAGATGTCAATAGATTAAGAAACGTAAATGATAGTAATAATTTTTAGAAAGGAGAGATCATCATAATGTATATAAGGAGGAATCGCTGCTAAGTAGAACATGGGTTCAAAACTGGTCATGTCTGTGGAACTGTCATGTGGATATCTAGATAATATGTCTATTAGGGGTCGTGTTTCACTCACTCTGTTAGTAATCCTTAACATGACATTGAAAATTTTCTTGGACACAAATAATAATGAAATAAAAGTTCTACTGCTTTAACACATCCATGCAGAAATTGTAATCCAATATATTAAGTTAACATTATACTGTAGACCATATAGCAAGCATGTAATGCTTGGTACAATTGCAAGTGAATCTAGTATATAGTGTATCTAGTGTATAGTAAATAGTGCTTTCTATTTGAAACGTGCTGTCACATAGTTACATATATAGAATTGCATAGTTAATACAACGTAGACATATTATACATGCAGCAATAAGGTTCTCTGCAATGTCAATTTCATATCTTGTTGGCTACTTATACCGCACTCATTAGTTGTATGTGTTGTACTATAATGGGTTTTATACGTGTAAAGATTCTAATGCGGTCGAAACACGTCAACGCTTATCACAGGTCTTCATTCTGAGAACTTTAGTTCTGATTCGGTAATGGACTCTTCTATTGCGATACGCTAGAGAATTGACGGGGTAACGTGAACGAAAACGTATGCATGGGTAATAAACGCATGAATCTGTACGTATAGGGGGGGCCTATATAGCTTTTTGCATTATTATTTTAATATAATGTTAATTGCGCGTCGCATATATTTAACTTTTTTAAGTGCTCAATGAATTCATTTCTCATGCTCATTAATTTCTATATGACGCATAGGCACGAGAGTTGCTTTGATTACGCAATAATTTAACGAACTACGCACCTCATCATTTATCATGCCTATATAAATATTTGATATAATTTTAATCAATAGTTACATTGGTTACATTAGCGGAATTTTGGTGGCTTATTCTATACGTTTTGCGGCTGTGGATCACGTGTCAACATGAACCCGCATTTATTCGAAAAGTATATGGAACAGCCAAAGAGAAACAATGAGAAGGAGAGGGGAGAGAGAGGGAGTAATATCAGTGCGAGATAGCCTACTTAACTAGGATTCGCATTTAAGTAGTTTTGATCGCACAAAAAACTCCGTCAATTGATTTTTTTCATAGATTCGGTAATGTTATTAGGAATTGCAACAACCTAAAATCTTGATTATTTTGGGGCGACAACATCCGCGGTGGGCTCAATCGCAAGAATAATCTAAAATATAATTATTCATACTTTGTGGGGTCCTTTCTATTGGTGCCAGTTATTGTTTTCTGTAGTTTTACTGCGAAATTATAATTAATAAGAAGTTATTGGATACACACCAAAAATGAGTTGCAAGAACCGATGGAGTACGATCTCCAAAATGGTTAAGAAGCACTGCCTGTTAAAGCTCAAAAAGTGATAATTCAGTTGGAAGTTCCTTATTGGAATGTGTTCCTAATAATGCTGACAAGAATATTAACTACGAGGTCTGACACGACACTATTTAGAATCATTTGCCTCTTGCATTACTCTTTCTAGTTTTAATTGTGTGTGTAGAAGTGAATGAGGCTCTCCAGTGGACAGCCGTAAACCTGTCTCATCGTTACAATAAACAACTTAACTGCAAGAAGTCTTATGATTTATATTTTAATCAAATTAAACACCCTTAACGTTAAAATTAATTGAAACAAAACAGTAACGAAAATCATTTCTCTAACGACACTAACGAAAAATCATCAATCTTTCAAATGCGTGCTTTCATAGTTTATCACGCGCCACCACGAGTCTCCCCACGAGTACTTTCTCACTAGACTGACACCGTCGATGGACTTTGTCTGCTCCAAGCTGTAAATCAAACGACATGCATCGTGTAATCTCGATCGCGTAGGACAAATATCGAGGGGAAAAACCTAGATATTGACCTACTTTTTCTAGGTCTCGTGCAATCCTCTATCGTCTGTAGCGACGGGAGAAATGACGTTGTGGTGCGCGTGCGTACTTGCGTGCGTGCATGCGTGCGTACGTATGTGTGTGCATACTCGCAATTTAGGGAGCACATATAGAAAAAGCACACATGAAGCGAAACAAGCAACAATTCCTAGGTAACAATTTTGAACACATATTTATCTGCATTAGCTGCTCTTATGGAACAATGAAATGACGACTCATAAATCGGACTAAATTCTGACCAATGCTGATCATCGAAATATCAACCTAGCTGGCACAAGAGGAAACCCCGCCATCTCCCACCAGTGGCGTGGTGAAACCTCTCTATTACAACTATAATTATAATGTTAACTACAAATGTCAATATATACACACCGTGGGCAGCAACAAGACGATAAGAGGACGAGCAATAACTGTTCGTTATAAATTAGATTAAAGCACAGATTTGATCACAAATATAAGGATGTCACGTCCTAGAGCATCTATGTTGTCAGAAACACCATATGTAGTTATGAGATGGTCTAAGTGGACATAACCTTTGAAGTAAAGTGTCTTACAAAAATCATGACAATTTAGACTGATAGTTACAACAAATTTTGATGTTTCTAACAGCAAGCCCGTGTTCCACGTAATGAGACTTCGCGCGGGAGACGTGGAAGGGGTACGTGCGAAAACGTACAAGGCTCGAGACAAGCTAGGGCATTCCTCGACATTCATTCGCTTGCACTATCTCTGATGCAACTTTCGTTCACATCCATACCTTACGCCCACTATTTACGTGGCACATTTCCAAGTGTAACAAAAGAAACGTGTGAGCGGCTACTAGGTTCGTATCTTACCTAATTATTATGAGCTTGTGAGAAAGATACTAGTATATAAATATGGTGCTTTATTTAGAATAACAGAGCTGATCGCATAATCTCTTTTCTACAATTAACAATTCCAATTACCAATTAAAAATGTTTGTAGAAAAAATTAAAATGTAGAAAACTAAATGTCAATAGATTAAGAAACGTAAATGATAGTAATAATTTTTAGAAAGGAGAGATCATCATAATGATATAAGGAGGAATCGCTGCTAAGTAGAACATGGGTTCAAAACTGGTCATGTCTGTGGAACTGTCATGTGGATATCTAGATAATATGTCTATTAGGTCGTGTTTTCACTCACTCTGTTAGTAATCCTTAACATGACATTGAAAATTTTCTTGGACACAAATATAAGAAAATGAATAAAGTTCTACTGCTTTAACACATCATGCAGAAATTGTAATCCAATATATTAAGTTAACATTATACTGTAGACCATATAGCAATCATGAATGCTTGGTACAATGCAAGTGAATCTAGTATATAGTGTATCTAGTGTATAGTAAATAGTGCTTTCTATTTGAAACGTGCTGTCACATAGTTACATATATAGAATTGCATAGTTAATACAACGTAGACATATTATACATGCAGCAATAAGGTTCTCTGCAATGTCAATTTCATATCTTGTTGGCTACTTATACCGCACTCATTAGTTTGTATGTGTTGTACTATAATGGGTTTTATACGTGTAAAGATTCTAATGCGGTCGAAACACGTCAACGCTTATCACAGCGTCTTCATTCTGAGAACTTTAGTTCTGATTCGGTAATGGACTCTTCTATTGCGATACGCTAGAGAATTGAGGGGTAACGTGAACGAAAACGTATGCATGGGTAATAAACGCATGAATCTGTACGTAGGGGGGGCCTATATAGCTTTTTGCATTATTATTTTAATATAATGTTAATTGCGCGTCGCATATATTTAACTTTTTTAAGTGCTCAATGAATTCATTTCTCATGCTCATTAATTTCTATATGACGCATAGGCACGAGAGTTGCTTTGATTACGCAATAATTTAACGAACTACGCACCTCATCATTTATCATGCCTATATAAATATTTGATATAATTTTAATCAATAGTTACATTGGTTACATTAGCGGAATTTTGGTGGCTTATTCTATACGTTTTGCGGCTGTGGATCACGTGTCAACATGAACCCGCATTTATTCGAAAAGTATATGGAACAGCCAAAGAGAAACAATGAGAAGGAGAGGGGAGAGAGAGGGAGTAATATCAGTGCGAGATAGCCTACTTAACTAGGATTCGCATTTAAGTAGTTTTGATCGCACAAAAAACTCCGTCAATTGATTTTTTTCATAGATTCGGTAATGTTATTAGGAATTGCAAACAACCTAAAATCTTGATTATTTTGGGGCGACAAACATCCCGGTGGGCTCAATCGCAAGAATAATCTAAAATATAATTATTCATACTTTGTGGGGTCCTTTCTATTGGTGCCAGTTATTGTTTTCTGTAGTTTTACTGCGAAATTATAATTAATAAGAAGTTATTGGATACACACCAAAAATGAGTTGCAAGAACCGATGGAGTACGATCTCCAAAATGGTTAAGAAGCACTGCCTGTTAAAGCTCAAAAAGTGATAATTCAGTTGGAAGTTCCTTATTGGAATGTGTTCCTAATAATGCTGACAAGAATACGAGGTCTGACACGACACTATTTAGAATCATTTGCCTCTTGCATTACTCTTTCTAGTTTTAATTGTGTGTGTAGAAGTGAATGAGGCTCTCCAGTGGACAGCCGTAAACCTGTCTCATCGTTACAATAAACAACTTAACTGCAAGAAGTCTTATGATTTATATTTTAATCAAATTAAACACCCTTAACGTTAAAATTAATTGAAACAAAACAGTAACGAAAATCATTTCTCTAACGACACTAACGAAAAATCATCAATCTTTCAAATGCGTGCTTTCATAGTTTATCACGCGCCACCACGAGTCTCCCCACGATACTTTCTCACTAGTCTGACACCGTCGATGGACTTTGTCTGCTCAAGCTGTAAATCAAACGACATGCATCGTGTAATCTCGATCGCGTAGGACAAATATCGAGGGGAAAAACCTAGATATTGACCTACTTTTTCTAGGTCTCGTGCAATCCTCATCGTCTGTAGCGCGGGAGAAATGACGCTGTGTGCGCGTGCGTACTTGCGTGCGTGCATGCGTGCGTACGTATGTGTGTGCATACTCGCAATTTAGGGAGCACATATAGAAAAAGCACACATGAAGCGAAACAAGCAACAATTCCTAGGTAACAATTTTGAAACATATTTATCTGCATTAGCTGTCTTATGGAACAATGAATGACGACTCATAAATCGGACTAAATTCTGACCAATGCTGATCATCGAAATATCAACCTAGCTGCCGCCATATATATATATATATATATATATATATATATATATATATATACATATATATGTGTGTGTGTGTGTGTCTGTGTCTGTATATGTAAATTAATTTTAGTCGCGTAATTAAATTTGGGAATGTTTTCTGCCAGATCGGAACAGATTTGCAGTTTACATTTTCACATAACCTAATCGGGAAAACTACCAAAGCTGGATATAATATTCCTATTGTGAAATATAGTACATCATGGCATTTGCGACGTTAAAAATATTCAGTTGTAATTTGATGATTGTATATATTATGTGGTTGCTTAACTTGTTTGATGGCTCAAACTGAACTCAACTTCGAATTAACTCATTTCAGGGCTTTCTGTATATGCCACGTTAGAAGTGGTTTAACAGGTTTGTGACAATTTATAGATGTTTTATCTTTCCGATGTGCAAATCGGTCTGTCCTAGCAGGAGGTTGCACAGTTTTCTCAGTGCCTAGGCGAGTCGTAACTATCTTTAGAGGTACGTTTGCCGAAGGCTGTAAAGATTTTGTAAGTCTGTACTATATCATGTGGTAGCAGAACATTTTTCGTGCGCGAATCACAAGCTCTAGGTTTCTCGATCGCGTCTACATATATACGGCAACGTGAGTATGTATGCGGAGCAAACGAGCTCGCAAGAATCGGGTTTGCCGTTGCTAAGAACTTGCAGAAGTGAGCTCGCAGCAGCGTGGGTCTCGCTCGAAATGTAGTGAACAATAACTACTTATCTATGAGAGATGTGTGCGTACATGCGCATGTGTGTATACGTATATATATATATATATATATATATATATATATATATATATATACGTAGACTAGTTAGTTAGTTGTAGTTTATTTCTGTAC